ATTTTGTTGAGATCTCGCGCCATACCATGCAGGGTACGCTTAACTACACCCTGGCCCATTTAAAGAGGTCGGCTGGGGAATGGTTCAGTTTGACTTGGGCACAGTATGCGTAGCGTGATCACTAACCATACCCAAGCATGGAACGCAGACATAACGTCAATGATGTGCACTATACATGAACTGGAAGGAATGTATCGGGTAAACGGCATGTCATGGACGAGGGGCATGGTGCAGGCGGGGAAAGGAGCCAATGATCCACTTCGCAGCTCAAAGACAACAAAGGGATTTATTAGGGATCATAATGAAACCGGGAAGGCACAGAATAAAGAGACCACAAGGGGTCAAAAAGCAAAAGAGGAAAACAACAAGTATTTGCAAGAAACACAAATGGAAAGCGGAGCATCATAGTGAGCGGAAGTGGCCAAGGGACCAGAGCAGCAACACAGCAACTTTAGCAGAAACCTAATACACATTCTAACATTCTGACAAAATGACCAACTACAGAACTGAACTAAGGCAGGAACATAAATACACAAACTGTACCGGGTAACGCAGCAGCAGGAGTGAGACGTGGAACAATTAAGCAATCAGAGAGGGTGCAACACAACAAGCAATCAGGTAGAACAATCATGACGCACAGGGAAACAGGTGGGTCAAATAAACTTAATCATGGAACTAAGAGACCGACAGAATCAAATACTAAGAATATAAGAAAGACAAGTAATATATAATCACAAACACAGGCACCTAGCAAAACCCCAAACAGAACGGAAACCAAAAACTAGGAATGAGAAAACTAAAATAGAAAATAGACACTGGGGAATAAAATCCAATAATTACAAATAAAGAAAAAGCTGGTCTGAAACGCATGACCAAAGGATTTATAGCCGCAGGCTCAGCCCAATGAGCTATGCGACAGTCTGGGGAAACACACTAGGGGCTTGAAGGACAACAGAGTAGGGCAGCGTAGCGACAGGTAGCGACAAATATTGAACAAACATTGCAGCAAAGGGATCACTTTGGTCTATGGTGGAGGTGCAGCGTTTGCTGGAAATTTGGGCTGACGAGAGTATCTAGGTACACATGCAACATGCAAAAACTCAGATATCTGGTAAAACATGGGACAGCACGAATAAATGATAATCGCTGCATTACCTACTCAATAGGTTGTGTGTTATCGTGCCCAAACGATTTTCTTCCTAAGTTTTCTTCAAACGCAATAAGTCGTATGATGATGACGAAAGCGTGCTTGGGCCCAAAACGTTAAGCGCAATGTTACCATAATCTAACAATGGAGTGAGGAGGGTAAGAGGCACCCGGGCAGAGTGTAAGTACATTCTTAGAGATCCCCATTAACCTGAATGAAAGTCTTTGGGCTGCAGGAGGATACCCATAAGACCCTAGGAGAACATGCAGACTCCCCTTGCCAGTTGGGCTTTAGCACACTATCCGGTTTCTTTAATTTGAACAAAACGCCAGCTGAGCTACTTAACTGCATTAACTCTAAATGAGCACCAGCTGGGGTGGTTTAGTGGGTTTAGCCCCATAGAGTCGCACCCCTGGGGCTCAGGGTTCAAATCCTGCCTCTTGCTCTGCATGTTCCATGCATGTTAGGTGAATTGGTGACTCTCGAGCAGTCTGTAATGTGTACTGCAGTGTGTGTACACTGTGATGGACCTGCTTCCCATTCAGGGTGCTTGTGCCTTGTGGCCAGAGTTTCCTGGGGCCAGGTTGACCATGATCCTAACTGGATAAGAAATTATGGGAGGTGAATTGGTGATGTCATTATGGTTTTACAGTTTTAATAGGTAAAAGAAGAATCCTATCAAAATTCCCTCACTGTCTGATCCTGTGTACCACTGAAGTGTAACATTTTATTTTTAATTAGCAGATGCTTCCATGCAAAGTGATGTTCATTTGAGGAAGCAGGGTCAGCCATTGCTCAAAGGCCAAATGCGACATCATGGGATTCCAAAGAGCAGCGTTCCGATCACAGATGCAGGGCCCTCAGTGACAAAGCACCGCTCCAACAGCTACATTTCTCTGGAGATAAGCCTACCTTGGTTAGAGATCAATGGTGGAAAATGGAATGAGAAATTCTTCAAATGAAGATGAATGAGGTCTTTTTTCGGAAAAGAGTGCGAACCAATTTTAGTTTTTTGTCCCAGTGGGCATACAGGATCAACATGAGGAAATGGAATTGGAATCAACCTAGACCTAAAAACACAGACCCTCCAAAGTGGATGAACAAGAAAGAGACTGAAGCTGAGGAGAGCCTGACCTGATGGTGCACAAACGTCTGCCCGATGTATGCAAGTCTCTCAAGTTGGTTGCTAATTGGCAGGGCATCTATGTGAGGTCATGTGTATTAGGCAACTTTAAAAACATTGCGGGAAGATCGCAAACAGGTCGTAATTGCTGCAGATCCAACACAGACCTTGAGAAATAAGAGGCATAAGAAATAAGCCGTTATTCAGAGAGAACCATCTCTAAAGCATGTCTGTAGATTAGAATTCAAATTCAAATGTTTATTTGTCACATACACAGTCATACACAGTACGATATGCAGTGAAATGCTTAGACGACTGCCCGTGACCTTAAAATAAAAGACTCTTAATAGGAAATAAATATGAAAAAGAAAATAGAAAGTAAATTTAACTAAGAGAGAATAAAATATCTGTACAATACAAAATATACAATATAAGAAAAATATAAGAAAACTATAAGAAAAATGAGACGGCCTACCTACCTACTGTAGCAGGGTTACACAATGAAGATGTTGAGAAAAGTTGTGTGGTTAAAATAGATGAAGGTGGAGATTTTTGGAACACAATTTAAAGCATGTTGTGTGTCATATTTCATGTGAATTTTATATTTATAATATATTTTTATATAATATTAAAGCAGATATCCGTTAGTTAGATTTTGTTAAATATTACGGATGTTCCAATAATGGTAAAAATGAATCTGGAAATATATATTTTTAAATCAGTGTGACTCTGATGTGAATCATCTCCAGAAATGAAATGCAATGAATCAGCTCCCTTCTCATAAAGGTCATTTCTGCTCCCATCGGCATAGTGAAAATCCTGGAATCGGTACAAAGGACTTTGAGGATGACCGTGTCGGGCAGCTGGGTGCTGCTCTTAATCTGACACAGAGAAGCAAGGGACAGTGTCACTGCAACTGCCTGAACCTCCAAGCTATAGGTACAAGGAATTAGGAATAGTGTAGCATACACCATCAATGATGTAAAAAGAACTGTGTAGGAAAGGGGTGCAGAAGTGGTGTAAGACAGAGAATGGGGGGTATAAACAGGAAGGAATGGGGTACAGAAGTGGTGTAAGACAGAAGGAGGGGTATAAACAGGAAGGATAAAAATAAAAGGATATATATTCTGGAGAGTGCTGAGGGGACTATTCAGTGTAGGAACCAATGAGCTTTCAGTTGTAGAATATTCCCTGATCAGAGGGTTGCCATCTGCTGTTTTCAAGCAAATCGTTAGTTACATCAAACCTGGAGTTCAGTGTCCAACAGGGACAGATCAGTGTTTCAACCTGGTAGACGCTGTCAAATTACTATAAGCCCCATCTGTGAATTCAGATTCAATGAGAGCCCTCTGGGACAACTGTCAATTCCTATCATTAAAGCTGTCTGCTGCGCACACTTTCTTTCAGGTCTTTAATCCATGGTGGCAATGTCAGCTTCTGTTTGTTTTCACTTTAAAGGTGAACTGAAGTTCATAGAGGGGAACTGACAGTCGTTTTTTTTTTGTTTTGTGGCAGAAGGCAGTTTGCTAGCGATGTTACTGTAGGCCTAAATACAAAAATCTCCCTACACGGTACTCAGTGAGTCAGTGAGCTCAGATAGAAACTGGAACACAGTCCAAGTTGAATTTATAGCTAATGGCAGATACACGTTGCCTGCTGCTGAATGTAGAAACTGTATATTTAAGCTTTGGGAGTAGAGATTTGTAGGCTTCCTGTGAGTGACTAATCGTCCTGGGTCAGGAGTGTAAAAAGACACAGCAAACTCTTTCAGGTCTGTGTCGCCTGCTGCACCCCGTCTCGTTTCCTGTGCTTACTCTGTTGGCCAGTTTATGGGGTTCTAACTGGAGATCAATGACTTTGTCTATGATGGTCATGTTCGAGTGACATTAACTGAATCCAAACACCATTACTATTCATGCTCGAAAACAGGGACAACAGGGGAAGCCCATCCTGTGGTCCGTGTGGATCTTAATGCCCCAGTGCAGTGATGGGGACACTGTAGCCAACAGGAAAGCCCATCCTGTGGTCTGTGTCGATCCCAATGCCCCAGTGCAGTGATGGGGACACTGTAGCCAACAGGAAAGCCCATCCTGTGGTCTTTGTCGATCCCAATGCCCCAGTGCAGTGATGGGGACACTGTGACCAACAGGGAAGCCCATCCTGTGGTCTGTGCCGATCCCAATGCCCCAGTGCAGTGACGTGGACACTGTGCTGTAAAAATGGTGCTGTCCTTTAGATGAGATGTAAAACCGAGGTCCTGACTCTTTGAAGTCATAAAAGACCCCTCGGCGTCTTTCGAAAGAATAAGGGTGGTACCCCAGTGTCCTGGCTAAAATTGCCCACTGTGGCCCTTTCAGATCTGGCCTCCTAATCATCCCTAATATCTAATTGGTGAATTCTCTCCTGCCCCTTCACCACCTTAGCTACTGTGCGGTGAGTGTACTGGCACAGAATGGCTGCCGTCACAGGTGGGGGCTACACAGTGCTGGTGGTTGAAGTGACTCCACATTGGTTCCGTAAAGCGCTTTGGCTGACTTGAAAAATGCTATGTAAATATTACATTCATTCATCCGTTCGTTCGTTCGTTCATTCATTCATTCATTCATTTACACTGCAGGACCCAGAAACCTGAAACCAGAAATGTCTAAATGCTACACCCTCCACTGGACCCTGTTTGCGTGAGAAGTGTCTTTAAGGCTGCTTCGTTCTGCATGCTGTGTCATGAAACAGGGCATCGTGTCATTCGTGGCCACTGTCAGAGAAGACAACAGCATCTTGATGTTGCTGGAGCCAGCAGACATGGCGGACAATGGCACAGCGTACGGCGTGCGGGTGACCGGCGAGCCTGAGAGCCACTTCCTGCTGTTTCAAAACCTCAGCGACTCTGTCCCTCCACCGCTGGTCTTCAACGCTTCCTATCATGGCCTGTGCTACACGGTCAGCTTCATGGTCAGCAATGGCACTGTGTGGTCCAAGCCAGTGAAGACTATCAGCCTCCTGACAAGTAAGAAACTCCATGACCTTTTTGCTTCAGGTGTCACACACTTGATAAAAGAAAGATGAATAGACATTTATTTTTTTCTCTGTAAATATAGTGCAGTAAATTTAGATTTTTTCATTATATTCTGGCTAATATGATCTATAAAAGAACCTTAAAGCAGTCATTGTAAGCAAATGGGTGGACAGATACAGGCAGAAATATACTTCATAAGTAATTTTTTGTGTCATGTTGTAGTATATCCTTGTCCTTATATTTCAGAGCCTCTTCCAGTAGATAGTGTGTTTATCCATGACTACAAACCTGCCCCGGAAACGAGTGTCATCTTTGAGCTCAAGTCTGCGGAGAACAACGTTTTTACGAGAGTAAATATCAGCTACTCTGAGGGACAGGAGCAGCGGTCGATGCTGTACAAAGGTAGGTTCTGCTAAGCATGCAGAACGACTTCACTCTCAAGTAAAGTCTGCTACTTCTACAAGGCATTGGACTCTGCCTGTGAACTACATTATATGGACAAAAGTTTTTGGACATCTGGCCATTATTCATCCAGAAGGCACTGACCTTCCCCAAACTGCTCCCACAAAGTTGGAAGCATGGAATTGTCCAAAATGTCTTGGTATGCTGAAGCATTAAGAGTTCCCTTCCTTGGAACTAAGGAACCTAGCCCAAACCCTGAAAAACAACCCCATACCATTATCCCTCCTCCACCAAACTTAACAGTCAGGCAGGTAACGTTCTCCTGGCATTTGCAAAACCCAGACTCATCCATCAGACTTCCAGACAGAGAAGCATGATTTGTCACTCCACAGAACACGTTTCCGCTGCTTCAGCGTCTAGTGGCGGCGTGCTTTACGCCATTCCATCTGACGCTTGGCATTGCACTTGGTGATATGTGGCCTGCATGCAGCTGCTTGGCCATGGAAACCCATTCCTTGAAGCTCCCGGTGCACAGTTTTTTTGTGCTGGAATTAATGCCACAGGAAGTTTTAAACTTTGCAGTTACTGAGTCAACAGAGTGCTGGTGACTCTTACGCATTATGCGCCTCAACACTCGGTTACTTAACGTGTTCTGCCACTTCATGGCTGAGTTTCTGTTGTTCCTAAATGTTTCCACTTCTCAATAATACCTCTTACATTTGACCTTGGAATATCTAGCAGGGAAGAAATTTGAAGAAGGTGGCATCCTATGACAGCACCATGTTCTTCCGAATGACCCATTCTTTTGCAAATAGTTGCAAGCCTTACTGCATGCGTAGGTCCTTGATTTTGAGTGGTTGTGAGGTATGTCCTAATACTGTTGTCCATATAGTGTCTACACGTCATTTAAACATGTTAAACAAAAGAGTAAATGTACTTTGAAATTATGCTTTAGTTGTGCAAAGTACAAATGCTGTTAGGGGCATGAACTTGTGGGTCATTTAATTTGATTACACATTGAACTTATGGGACTCTTTTGGAGATCTTTCATATTGATTGGAATTATATCAAAGGATCAATAAAGTGTCATTATTAATATTAAAACCTTTCCTTTGGATTAGACTTCTTCAAGGGGAAAACCGTTTTCAAACATTGGCTTCCTGGAACCTGCTACAGCAACATCACCTTCCAGCTGGTGTCAGAGGCCACGTCCAACAAGAGCACCCTGGTCCGGCACAGCCTGGTGCTCCACCAGCCCGGCCGGCACAGGACAGGTACCCGAAACGCAGCGCCAATACCTGCTAACCTTAAGCGGGGCATTAATGCAAGCGTAGGTCACTTTGGATAGTGAGATCTACCTGGTCAGGTATAGAACTGGAATTAAATCCAAATAACGACATGAGGCCACAGTGCCACAATATAATTACATAATAATAATGATAATAATAATATTAAAAATAATTGTCATGATCTGCGTTCGGCGAGCAGGCAGAACGGGGCGAAGGATGAATCAGACAGGTGGAAATCCAAAAGATGGGGTTTATTTTGGGGCAGACAGAACACAACTCAGGACACAATGTCAATGACAGATCTGGGAAACAGGAAGACGTGGACTCCTATACACAAGACTAGCCGAAATAACAGGACACAGGTGATCACAATAGGGAATTCACATGAGGTAAATGAGGGGGCGTGGCACACAGGAGGATTGTACGAGCAGGTCATGACAATAATAATATGGTCTAATGGTGATGATCTGTGTCTCCATTACTTTGATTAAGTTAAACTTTTATTCTGTTTAGAGTAATTATGATATGACCACTGAAAAAGTACAAGGTGCATTTTGTTTCCTGTCCACCAAAATAAATTACATGCCTGACTACATGTAAATTTGTTTTTTGGGAACTGTTCAAAAACAGGCTAGACTTGGGCAGCTGGTTTTCAAAGTAACAGGCTTTGGGGGGGGGGGGGTCTGCCAGATACTAGCACAAACCACTGACCTGCAGCGTGTGAAGAGAGCGTTGGGCTTGGTATTGAGTGTGTTGGAGGCTCATACCTGATGTTTTCGGATGGGGAGCTTCAGATGAAAGTTGGAGTAGTTGGAAATAATAGAAATGGGGTGAAGGTAGGGGCTTGCAATTGTTTTGTTAATTTGAAACAGAGTGACTGGATTAAATGTCACTCTCTCTAGGGGTGCCTGCGTTTGGGCCAGATCTCATTGGGGAAGGCTTCCCTTGCAGATTAATGCCTGCCGAGTTATTAATTATTCAAATCTGTTAAATACTGCTGAGGATTCTTTCAAAGGGAATTTGAGGGGCTATTTCCATCAATGGAGACTGCACATTAATGTGAAATAATCAAGTGTTCCCTCTGAGATGTCGTTAAAATCATTTGGTGTGTCCGAAATCGCGCACTTGCGCACTTTTAGTGTGCGATTTTAGGACGTAGTGCATTCACACTGACAACTAAGCTAAAATTCACTGAAAACGGCCAGAAAACGCAGTGCAGAATGATGGACACTACTCGCACTAAACGGACACCATTTTGACTACGTAGCGGAAGGGGAGGGACTTTCGGCAAGTTTTCAGAGTTGAATAATGGTGGACAACAACACAGACACGCAAGCCCAAGCGGAGGCAACTGCTTCATATAAATGCGTGTAGGCACGCATACAAAAAAAAACATGTAGGTTACGGACCATCTCATGTTCAACCAACAGGAGGAGGATCCTGCGACGACGTTGAATGCGACGCATTTTCATGGTGGGGTGTTGTAGGGGGTAAACAAAAGCAAATAAAACCACAAGGAAATTCATTGTAAACAAAACACGGCAGATATTTTGGCGTGCTGGAGAATCGCAATCAAATGCTAGTCCGTCACTTCCGGTAAATGCAAAACGTTAGTGTTCCGTTTAGGACAGCACTTACCCATGGTAGTGTGCACTACATAAGGAAGTGCGCAGTGCGCACTACGCACTACATCTGAGTGCACTGACACAAGTGCGCGATTTCGGACACACCCATTGTCTGTTAAAAATAAATGTACATGTGCCTTTAAGAGAATTGTTATGGCTCATTTTCGGTCCCTGTCTCACAGCACCCAACCCACCCCTCAATGTCTCCTTCCGGATCATTCGTCTGAGCGGGAGAGCACCACCACGGCTTGCGCGTAGCGGGTCATACTCTCGCCTGGTTGGTGATGTCCCCTTGATAGATGAACAGGATGAGGTGGACCCTATGGAGGAAGAAGGGGACCCAAGGAGCTTCGCCATTGGACAGGAACACTTGAGCCCAACCCAAGGCTCCAACAGCTCAGCAGATGACTCGTCTACCAGCAGTACAAGAAATGAGAGCTCCTCGCAAGCCTATTGGCCACTGGCCACGGCCAGGCCCACCTCCACTGGCCCCATATCGAGCGAGGAGTTTGTAAACGCACCAGTCCTAGAATCTGAAGATCAGAGCGATTCGGGTTCTGGCATGGACCAACCCCATGCGCCCTTGTTCCCCACCTCTGGGCTGCCCCACCTCCTGCTGGAGCTGCAGTGGCAGGCACCTCGCCCACCAACCATGTTCGATGGCTTTGTAGTCTACATCTCCATAAACGGTGCGTCTGCTATGTGAGAAACAGACGCCACAGCACAGGCACTTGCATGTACAATGACACAATCTTTTATGTTAAAAATAGCCCTTGTGTGTTTATAATGTACACAAAACCTCATGATTTAATGTTTTATTTGTAACATTACTTGAAGATAGTTTGCTTCTGAGTGAGTGGATCCCTCTGTGGGTACTTTAGTGACCCATACAGGGCTGAACACTGCTGAAATTGTTGTATGTATCCAGAGCTGTACAAACAAAATGTTTAAAGCTATTTATCGGTTTAGTCAGTGAATATTTCTTCAGATAAAAAATTAACGTTAGAACAAATGCAAATTAAGAGTAACAAAAAACAGTTATTAAAAACAGATTATTTTCTGTTCTCTTTGGTACCCATCCCTCTCCTCACGGGTACCTCAGCCATTTATTCAATTTCTAATTAATTTAATTAGATTGATTACATTGGTACTGTATATTGGATGGTTAAGGGAAATACTGGAGTGACCACGAGAGGTGTTGAAATGACTGAGGCATCGTATTTTTACACCAACATAACATAAATGAAACAAAGTTTTCTTTGGCAGCCTAAGACTTTAGCACAGTACTGTGTATATACTGTAGTAGGTATATAGGTATCCATGAATGTAACTGAGCGTGTATTTAAGCAGGTAGCCACAAAGAGGTGGCCCAGGTGGACGAAAATACGCAGGAGTTTGTCAGGAAGCTGAGCGAACCTGGGACCTACAGGGTGCTGGTGACAACATGGAGCTCATCCGGAGACTGTGAGCCTAGAGAGAGCCGCGTGGAGACCAGCTTCACCTTCTACCTCAGTAAGCTTGCCCCGCCCTCACAATAACACCTATGTCTGAGTTTTCCTGCATATTTAACTGATTTGGGAACAATATATAATTAAAATGGCCTTTTAACTGGACACATATTTTTATTCAGGTTTCAGGGCAGTTCTTAATTACAGCTCAGATTGAACATTGACTAGTTGGCTCAATGTGGCTCTTGTATCGACCTGTATTTTTGTCAGATAAACGTCACTACACTGCTGTTAAACAGAATTCCTTCTACTGGCAATTTGAGGGGTGTACAGAGGACCAGAGATGATAGTGTCTGCAAGGTTTTAGGTTTTATCTCTTTTATCTTCCGTTATAGTATTCCGGTAATGACAGAGAGAGGATCTAGCTGTAGAAGCCAAAAATTTTACTTCAGTAATTCAAATCTGAAGACCAACAACCTGCTCCAGCGATTGGCCCTGCTTTCTCAAAAATGTGGATAAAAATGAGTAAATAAAATGTAATACTCAATACTTTGCAAAGCTCAGTTGAGTACCAGTGATTTTAAGACTTGTTTATTGATTAGATTAATTAGCCTAATATTGGGGGGAGGCAGAGCAGGAAGTGACTAGGTATGGCTGGGTGGCAGTAGAGCTTGGTGCAGACATGACAGTACCCCATTCCATGGGCAGCTCTAGAAGCTTTAGAATGCCTACCATATGTGTGACCATGGGAGCAAAGAGCAAGATGATTGGGGTGAGCATGGTGGGAATCCTCAGTGACGGGCTAAGGAAGTCAGGGGAATGGACCCATGATTGTTCCTCCATAGCGTTTCCAATCCACCAGGTACTACAATTGTCCCCTGCGGCACCTAGAACCCAATTCCCTTTAACCTGTTTTCAAATTTTTCTGTATAAGTGGTGTAGGAATGTTTCACAACATACCCATGCCTTGGTGCAACTCTGTTGTGAAAGACACTATATAAAAATCAATTGAATTGAATTGAACTGAGCTGAACTGTATTGGGCACAGACTGTACAGTATAAGCAGATTCACCCTCAACATCCAGAGGAGGGGAGGTTCAGCAGGGGAGGAAGCCAGGTTCATTGGACTGTAGAAGACCGGCTTCAGATGTGGAACGTGGGCAATATCCGATAACAAAGTAGCAACTGTGTAAATGTTTTGTAATAGGGTTCATGTGTTTTGTGATCTTGAAAGGACCAATATACCAAGGCGCTGAGCTTATTTAAGAGAAGGCAGAGCTTGATGTCCTGGGTGGACCACCAAACCCATTGTCCCAGATGGAGCAAGGGAGTAGGATGGCAGCAGTGGTCAGCAAATCGCTTTTATTCTTTTTTTTTTGTAGCTCTCTGGAGTTGCAGTGGGCCTTTTCCCAAACTTGGCCACTCATAGCTAGGATCTCACTGACCTTCATCTCCCATAGGAAAAGGGGCTGATAGCCTAAAACACATTGGAAAGGGGTTAGGTGTAGAAAGATGAATGAATTAGCAAATTTTGGACAAAATATGGCCAAGGAAAATAGTGACTCAAGTCCAGCTGGTTTGAAGAGCAGTACTATCTGAGGACAACAACCATTTTCCTGATTAAGATGTTCTAACTGTCCAGTTGTTTGAGGGTGATAGCTAGAGGATGGACTAAGGTTAAAGCCCAATAGGCCATAGAATTTTCCTGTAATTTCCCTTTGTGGGATTAATGAAGTCCATCTTAGCACGCCTTCTACACTTGAGATGTGAATTGTGGTCCACAGTCAGTGACAATACACTGTGGTATCCTGAAGAACCTAAATAAGGTTTCCATTCCACCCACTTCCTGCAGTCAAGATGCAAAATACTTTGGCATACCCTGCATCTGTACTACCTGTAGCGTCGTTCACATCGCTGAGCACAGATATCCTGGCCAGTGGTGAGGTGATCAAAATTCTCCTTGAAAACCGAGTAGAATCGGGCCTCTTAAGAGCTATCCTGGTGCCAAAGTGCAGTAACCACAGAGGTGCTGCTAGAGATTTTTGGCCCCATGAAAACATATCAAATTGGAATCCTAATCCAGCCCAATCCAATTATGTTCCAAATTTTTAGGGCTTCTGTCACTTAGAAATCGTGTGAGCTCAATCAGATGATAGACAGCTCACAATATACCGTTTAGAGATGGTCACAACTGTATGTATGTTTTGAGGTACTGTGGGACCACTGCAGTGGTCAAAGAGAAAATGGTATTAGTAATGATCAGTGTACGCCCAAAGTATCTGACCTGGAATACTGTGAGGCCCAGCCACTTCTGAGTGCTGACATCGTGCAGGACCATTCTGACCTCACTAATGTCCAATACCAGTGGTTGGAGTTGATCTGGTGTCAGTGCCAACCTTACCATTTCCTTATCTTATTGCCGCTATCAAAGCATGAAAAAAACATGCTGAGCTCCTCCGTCATTGAGTGGTTGCTACTCATAAGCAAATTATCATTTCTTTTATAATCTGTGACGGCTTGATTGCCCTGCCACATGCATCAGGGTTTACTGTTGTGTCCTCAATCCTCAGTTTGAAGTTGTGTTTTGCTGCACAAATGCCTCACTTTAGATTAGCCTCAGCTAAGCTACAGGCTGATGTCACCTGCCCTATAAGCAGCATCTTTTTGTTTCAGTAGACTCTTGATTTCTTTGGTCATTCAGGGTTTTTGATTAGAAAACTCCCAAATTTCCTTAGTGTTGATTACACTTTCAGTGCAATTGCTGATGTAGGATACGACAGATGAGGTATACTGTTTAAGATCAACCAAGTAATTTTTTTCACCAAATATGCTCCACTCTGTACCTTAAAAGAGGCCAGACTCTAACCACTTCATGACTTGATCTTGTCCTGTTAATGTGTGGCTTGTAAGCTGGCAACATGATCAATGAAAGACAGTCATTCTGTCCTACGTGGGGGCAGGCTAAAGCTTCATATGCATTATCGATATTAGCCTAAACACAATCTAATATCTTGGTACCTCTGGTTGAATATTTAGACTTGACATAAGTGACTTGAGGACATAATTTCTGCACTATGTACTCCTGTGTTGCACTATTATTTGAGTAGTGGACTACATATAATTGGCATATTCCTGGAATGAATAGTTAACTGGCATGACAAGTACTGTATTTGCATTAAGCACTGCTGACAAGAATTATCTCTTGCAGGTACTTCTAGCTAAAAGACCTGATATCTGTAGCTTGCTTTAGATTGCAGATACCAGTATTTACTATTTTTAAATAGCATTTGTTAGGATTCCCAGTGCCAGTGCTCTGTTGGCAGGTTCCAGTGGGGAGTGGTTTGAAGAGCCCAAGGAACGACCCCAGGCTGTGACGGTGAGGATGCTGAACTCCGATACGGCAGCCGTTTCCTGGGCTACGTCTTCAACAAACCTTAATGGAAGCCTGGTGTCTGTACTATCCCTTACCTGCTCCAAACCAAGGCTCGGTCAGAGGCTGGAGAGTAACTACTGCAATGAGGTGAGCCTGGAATACTGCACTCTGATACAGTTATAGCAGCACATTAAACTGAGACTCAGCCAGAGGCTAATGAGTAGCTATTACAGAGAGGTGAGCCTGGACCAGTACACTCTGATACAGATATAACAGCACATTATATCGAGGCTTGGTCAGACACTGGAGAGTTGCTGCTGCAGTGATGTGAGTCTGGACCACTGGACTCTGATAGGATTGCATCAGCATGTTTAACCGAGACTCAGCTAGAGGCTGGAGAGTAGCTACTGCAGTGAGGTGAGGCTGGACCCCTGTACTCTTGATACAGTTACAGCAGCACATTAAACTGAGACTCAGACAGAGACTGGAGAGTAGCTACTGCAACAAGGTGACCCTGGACCTCTGCACTCTTATTCAGTTACAGCAGCATGTTAATCTTGTGCTGGACAGACTGTTTCGAACATTCTGGAGAGGAGTTTAAGACCTCTGCTATATGATTAACAAAATGTTCTAATCAGCTATTTATGCCTTCCTACCCCTATACCATCTACTTCTGTATCCCAGTTCTTGGAAGTAACGTTTTCTGACAGGTCACCACCTAACCTACCAAACCCGATGTTCCTTCCAGGAACCCCAGCTCAGCAAAACTCTTAGGTATATAAAAGTGTACCCATGCCATTCAATGAATGCAGTCTATGACCATCAGTTGCCAATGGTTCCTTTGTCGGGCTTTGTAACACATGTGTGGGTGGTATGAAATTATCGGTCGGAATTTTTTGGATTCAGACAAACACAATCAGCAGAAATCTTCCTCGCTGCAGAGAATCTGCAGGTACCCTGCAAATCTGTCATTGGTAGTGTTTTAGCACACTGGAAACCTTTACTTCATTGGAGATTAATGGTTTCTGGGTCATTGTAAATGTCTTGGACAAGGAATGTTTTTGTCTCTACAGGAAAATACTACCAGTGACATCATCACTGACTTAACCCCCGGTGCACAGTACCGGGTTCTGGTCTTCTTCACAAATGGCCCTCTCGTCGGCCCTGCCTCAGACCCCGTCATCATTTCAACATGTGAGTTCCCCATGAACCCAACAATCAGCCATTACATCCTGATTGATGGCTTATAGCACTCACTGCTGTAGAGATGTTTGGTGGCAATCAGTCATCTGAGAGTGAAAGATTGGAAAATAATATAGGTATAGACCTGTCTCATGCTATGTGCAGAATGTAGGCTGTTGGTAACAAAAAAGTGTTTGGTGGAACATTTGTTTGGCCTCATTTAGCTGTTTTTCATTTTAAAAATGTAAACAGGTATTCTTTTCATCCATTGTTTATAACACAATAAATAATTTGACATCATTTATCATCTTTTAAGATAATTTTGAACAAAGCTAGAAACAGATTAATTGTATTATCTGGATGGGGAATTCATATGACTTTAATAGCATGATAATTCAAAATACATTTGGATGGTCTTATGAAATGTTGCAGATACATTGTGAAATATTGAGAAAAATCTCCCCAAAATTACAATATCACCCTATAGTGGCAACAAAGGAAAGGGTGACGGCAGATGACATTTGACCTTGTGAATATGATAAGTCAAAAGGTATTTGTTGAATCTCACTACTGCTTCACAAAATCATTATATGGATGAATATCTAAAGCTCATTTCATTTTGAGATAAATTGCCCCAATATTGAAGCTACAGTGCTACAGTAGGTGGCAGCAAAATAAGGAAAGGGCAACTTGATATTGTGAACAGCATAACTCCAAAACTATTTTCTTCATCTTTTTCCAAATTTTGCAGGCGTATTGTATCAGTGAAGAATATTTTTAGATATATCGCACCAAAATTAAAGCAGCGCCACATAGTGATAGCATAGACAACAACAGCCTCACATCAGGAGTGGAGAGAAAAATCAATTCAGTTACAAATCACAGTTCTTCAAGGTGATGATTTTAAGAAGTTAAATCGAGATAATTGATTGAAAAGTTGTTGCAACTACGTATTACATACATGCATTGGTTTTAAAATATTCATGCACCACATGTGTTTGTGTGTTTCATGTGTTTTTGTCTTGATTTACTCTAGACTCAAAATAACTACACTCAATAGGCTTTTTCTGTACTGTGATGGTTACCATCATTTTATTGTCCATCCCCTAGCAGACTCTGATTGGTTACACTGTGTTTTCATTCCTTGCCAGTGCCCCTGGGTGTCCAAAACTTGGCTGTGCATTCTCTGAGTCCCTGGGAGGCCATCCTGAGCTGGCAGCGGCCGCACAATGTAGCCTTCCACAAGTACATCGTGGAGACCTTCTTCTTCAACCCGGCCACGCTCACCTCGCAGTGGAGCACTTACTACGAGCTCACTGCCACCTCTTCGCTGGTGGCCTCTGTGGTAACAACTACCGCTGCCTATGTAGAGGCACTCTGCCTCTTCACTCATTAACTCAGCTGGATGGTTACTGATGTTAAGTGCCATCATTTGAGCTACGATCAATATTGTAGTGAAACTAAATGCTTGAACTTCACTTGACAGACTATCAAATTTTTGGTGCCACGATACAGTAAGGCTGCTTTTTGCCATTTATAAATGGTACTGACTCACTCATAAAAAAAACACTTAGAATTGTTTACATTTGTCAATTAATTGTTTACAAAGTGGTACAACCGAATTAATAACATTAGAAACCATTTCTAAACCCTATATATGGGTATTCTTATTGTGAAGTCAGACAGTTTTTTTTTAATGATTTAAGGAGCTGATTTAGACTCAAACCAGTGACCATTTTGTTGAAAAAAGTTTCATTACTTCCTTGGTGACCATATGACCAATTGTATATCTGAAGTGTTGGACACTGGAAGCACATCTGTGTCTCACCGGACCTCAAAGCAGACAACACTGTGTGATCCCTGCAAGGGTAAACATTAAACATCAATTGATTTAGGCCTCTGATTGATTTGAGTGGACTTCAGGAGTTAAGAAGGATTTTAGCATAAATCACTGTAGTACAATTTACTATGAGTCTTTGCCAGTTGTGGCCCATTGATGTCAGGTAAAATCACATTCCCCACGGTGTGAAGAGAACAGAGCCAATGGCGTCCCTTCATTTCACCTCATACTTTTAGTGCGGCCTGCTTCACTTCTGCCACTCTGACTTACGGCACATGACTATGGGAGAGATTACATCACAGTGTTCCGGAGGGCAGACATCACACAGAAGACTGGTAATAGGGCTGAAGATAGGTTTGACTAGGCTGATCTTCATGTGCCTTTCAGAGAGTGACAGACCTACTGCCCGCCTGGTACTACAAATTCCGCGTCACCATGGAGACGTGGGGCGAGCCGGTGCGGAGCTGCTGTGACAGATCCACTGTGAGCTTCATCACAGGTACTCCACATGCCCCCCACGGGGGCAGGACGCAACGCTCCCATAACAACGTCCAAGCGGGCAGAATCAGAATCGTAGTTCGATTTTTCTTACCTACTACCAGAAAACTTACAGCATTTCTGCAATACACCAATGAATCCTCCCCACAGTTACAGTTAATAGATATTCTGTATTCTTATAGCAGATCCTATTGAGCATTTTATTTTAATATTGGTAGTGGAGAATAAGTTGATGTTGTCAGTATATGATGCTGTTGCTCAGAAATCTGGAGCAGGGCTATCATTACAATCTAGTAATGACAGATTGTGACAATGCCTGAAAACCGCAGTGAGATGCAAGCATAATTGCATTCTAAGGTGGTTTGAACAGAATATATACGGCCTGTATGGTGCATGTCAATGCCGCAGTCAGGACAGTGTCCCTCTGTGTTGCCTGTGTTGTTCTCCTAGCTCCGGAGGCGCCCCACATATCCCTGGTGGAATACTTCAGCAGCGTGCTCCACGTCAGGTGGACCTACGGGGACATCTTCACTGACCTGTCCCATTCCCGCATGCTGCACTGGCAGGTGGCGGCCGAGGGCATGAGAGGGGCCAGGAGACGAGCGTCTGCTAACGTGAGCTTCCCGCACCGTCTCCCACGCACGAGCCAGCTTAGCGCCGCTCGGCTCGCTGCAGCAGATGTGGGTGGCTAATGAGGGTGGCACATAGGGCATCGATCGTGTTGTCAGTGCTCCTTAGGGGGCTAATTAAAGCAGTTCAGGCCTAGGGGTGTCAAGACCTCAACCTCGAGACTCGCTGCTTGCCCCCCTGTCACTCTAAGCTCCTACACAAGGCCCTTAACAGGCCCAATTACCATCCATACCGACATCCCTTTACAATCAACAACAGAGCAGATGCTTAATTAAAGAATATTCTGCCAAAGAAATATTTTGAAGCCTGCGCTGGCCTGAAATTTCCAGCCAATTAGCCTGCTAGCATGTGATGTTCAACCTACACTGGTGGAGGGTTTTATGAGTGTTGGGGGGTGCTGGGTTGACAAGGGTAGCAGTGAACCCAACAGCTCACTGGAGGTACTTTACAAAGGGCCATGTGCAAGATCTTAATTTTCAAAACTTAAGCATAATCGAAGGTGGTTAGTGTGACATGATGTATTGAATACCTGTAACCCTGCTTGACAATAGGACTTGAATTCATCTCTAGAGGAATGTATTAGATTGAATGGAGCTCATTCCAAGATAATAGTCTTTGCAGTGTCATTTAGCACTGTGTCCTCGAGACAGAAATACAGTTTAGTTATTTAAGAGATGCCAGTTAATGAGCATTGTGACGCCTGTGACAGTTATCATGCTTATTGCTACTTATTGAATTTAGTCCAGGTGTTAGGAGCCCCCATTACTGATTGATACCCCCTTGCTCCTCCAGGTGCCCCGCACCGTCATGCAGGCAACACTGGCTCTGCCCCCTGGGGACATCTACAACCTGACTGTGACAGCATGCACGGAGCGCAGCAACAATACATCCACACCGCACATCATCAAACTGGGTCAGAACCACTGCAGTGTGGAGAGATGGCTACAATGCATTCAGTGTCTGCAGTGTGGAGAGATGGTTAGAGTGCTTATAGTAAATGCAGTGTGGAGAGATGGTTACAGTAACTGTAGTGTAGAGAGATGGTTACAGTGCTTACAGTAACTGCAAAATGGAGAGATGGTTACAGTGCTTGCAGTAACTGTAGTGTGGAGAGTTGGCTACAGTGGGAACCACTGCTTTAGAGGTTTTACAGTGACATCATAATTAACCTGTCAATCCAATATTTTTAAGTTAAAATATGGCATTTTATTTTTTAGACATTGCACAGCCCTAATTGGTATTGGTATCTGTAAGTACCAGAAAACATGCATCAGTACTTGTACTTGGTCTTAAAAAATGATTTGACCTCTCCCCTATAATGATAGGGATACATCGAGATTGACTTACGTCCTCACTTCTAGGAGGAAACCTGGACGTATAATGAATACTGATTTTTACATAGCATTTACATAATAGCAAGACTTCCAATGAAAATACATATATAGGCTGTTCTTTAATTTGTGATATTTCACAGAACCGGCTCGTCCAAAGTCTCTCTATGCTGTCAACACGACACACACGTCGGTGTCTCTGCTCTGGGTCGAGGAAGGAATCGTGGATTTCTACCGGGTTTCCTGCAAGCAAGTGGGCCTCAGTAGGAGCACGAACGTGAGCCACCGACCTTACACATTGCCATACAGGATTTCAAGGGCAAGGGATTTTACTATTGTACATGAATCACTGGAGGTGGATACATACCTCAGTATATAACTAAAACAAGATTTTTCATTTATTGGTGGTGGTATATTTTCATATACACAGGGTATATGCATCCTGGATTACAGAAACCTCAGATGAATTTATTTATCAGACAGTTTTATTCAAAGTGACTTTATTTTTGAGAAATCAGAGTCAGACGGCCCCTGTCACAATTGGGGGTTTACATGCGTTGCTCAGGAGCCCAACTGTGAACCGGCAACTTCCTGGTCACAGACGCAGCATCCTAACACCCTCAGTGTAATAGTAAATGTGCTGATTTCTTAGTCAAGCAGAACAGCTAAAGGTTGTGTGCTAACAGATTTTGTAGTTTAGCCAGCTGGTATCAATCTGTATATATATATATATATATGTATATATATCAATTTTTGCTTATTACATCAATATTTCAGTTGTAAAACCACAATTGCTTCAGCTAATGTCTTTAAGCTAGGAAAACGTTTTGGAGCAGGGAGCAGTAAGGTTCTGAGGGTGCACTTAATGATGTGGATGAATCTATTCTTGGCCAAGGGCCAGGTCTGTAAACAGTAATGGTGGATCAGGGAAGAGGGGAGATTTATATTCCTTAATGACAGGGCCATGCTGCATGCTTCTAGTGTTTATGTCCAAATGGCTGGACAGCACCTTAACATGCTTAAGCTTAAGTGATTTACTAGGGTAACATATTGGGAAGGGCTGTAGCCAAGCCAGTCTGTCTTATCTTAGGGATTTTCTCTTATTTTCCTGGACATCTCCTTTGTTTTTCTTGATATTGCCTTCACTTTTCTAGCCATTTCTTTGGTTTTTCTTGAAATATCCTTGGTTTTCCTAGACATCTCCTTTGCTTTAGTAGATATTGGCCTGGATTTGGAATTGAAGTTTTGGTTGGTATAAATGCTCTCTGTGAATTTCTACTGAGTGCTACTATCATGATGGGATTGTGTATTACTGGTGGTTGTGTTAAACTGTGGGCCTGTCTTACTGGGGTCCTGTTACGCTTTTGGTATCTGATTTACTGGGACCTCTCATTCTCGGTTACTGCTTCACTGGGCTTTAGTGATGACTGTGGTCTTGTGAGCCACACAGATGGGTCTGCTTACCGTTTGTCCCACGTTGACCAGGGGGAGAGGGAAGCCCAAACTGTCCACTCCCATGTGGCAACAGTCTCCAACCTCCTACCTGCCACCACCTACAACTGCAGCGTCACCAGCTACAGCTACAGCACTGCCAGTGAGCCAGCTTATGTGGCCATCTCCACCCAAGGTGAGTCGCCCCCCCCCCCTTTGAAAATGCTATGCAGGGGTACATGGAGGGAACACTCGATGACAGCTCCTCTGCACGTCGGTGGCATGTGGGGCCTAAGTGTGAATGAGGCACCCTGGGGGGGCTGCAGCTTTCTGTCACATTAGTTTTACTCATGAAACCTACTGGCTGTTGTAGGTCATAATGACAGTAATATGTTTCTCACTATTTTCCCAAACTGTCTGGCCCCATTTGGCATCTGCCATGGTTTTTTTCAGGCCCTGTACTGAGAGGCTTTCTGCAGGGGTGTTTCTCAATATGCGTACTTGACCGTACTTGTGTTGTCATGTACCCAATTAACCTAATTTTCCATTGCCGAAAACCAATACTCAAGAACAGAAGTACAGGGGATGATAAAAATCCCCAGATGTTGTTCTTGCTCCTCCCCAAATATCAAGGATAAATTGGATGCATCCTTGCTGAATTGGACCAATCCCATGATTCATTGCGACCCAAGTTCGTTCTTGGGAGGTCAGTTATCGAGACCAGTCTTGCCAAGACCACAAATGCAATCTTTGTGTTCTTGGTATTCAGAAACACCCCATCTTTAATGAATGCCCCCCTTCCCCTCTTATGGCCGTGGTGTCTTGCTCCTCTGTCACACGCATCCCATCTCATTCCAGCCAGGGAGCTGAACCCCAGTGTGGCAGCCATATCTGCACTTGCCGTCCTCAGCGTCCTCCTCATCAGCCTGCTCCTCTTCATCCTCATCGTGCTCCGCAAGAAGCACATACAGATGTCCAGGTAAGATCATTCCCATCGAAGACCTCTTGCCGCCTGTAATTGCCATGTGGTTGTAGTTCGAATGTCCCTTCCAGCACTATGAAACATAATTAGGATGGACTGAGCAAGAGACTAACTGATGTAAATGCACAGGTGCATTGGTTATCAGACGAAAATGCAGGTGTAAAATTTTGCTGGGTATACACCGGTGACATTTGCTTGACCTTTTCTGTGTCACCTGCATATTCTTTACCCTATGAGACAAATGTGAAATGCAGATTGGATCATTAAACAAATGGTGTGTGTAAGATTCGACAAGCAGAAAATGAGGGCAGATCTGTGGGACCCCCAATACTGGAGGAAGGTGATCAGAGACAGTGAAGTCTCCTGAGGGACTGTCGTAATGCACATCTGTTTGTTCTTTCAGAGAGTGTGGGGCTGGGACATTCGTCAACTTTGCCTCCTTTGAACGAGACGGGAAGCTACCCTACAACTGGTAGGACCCCATTACTCTTACACACCGTCCTCTCAGAACGCCTGTCAGAGAAGAAGGCTCGGACCCAACCTGGTTTTAGGACAGGATGCCTCACCTTAAAGTCCGCGTGTACTTGATGGATTATTTTGGGAAGTAGATTTTCCACCCTCACCAGTTTATCTCAGCTCCTGTGCTCAGCTCTTTAAAAGAAAATAAAACGGCACTCTGTGGTATCTAATCCAGTAGCTGGCCATAGCTTCTGAAATGTGGAGAGTGAAATTTTATGGAAGATTAGAGCAAGATGAGGGATTTGTCTGTGTAATGCTTTGCTTACATACTGCTTAAGCATGTCCTAAAGCAACCAGATAAAACATACATACAAGGTCCCACCCCAAGCAATCTGATCCTCTTACGGCAGAATGAAATCTTGACACTTTGCTGTTTGGTCTTTTCAGTGTGGTTATTTAATTCTATGGATTTTTCATTTGTCCACTGAAAGGGGTGAATGAAGAAGAAGGTACTGTAACACTTTATTTAAGGCCTTATTTTTAGTAATTTTTAAACATATTCATAACACATTATAATGCATTTGTAAAGCATTATACTCATGTACAGTATATAAATATTTTTCAAAAGGAAGAACACATTATAGTCATATTTATGCATTATAATTGCCTTATGAAGCTCTCATATATAATGCACTCTGGATACTTTTATAATGCATTACAATGGTAGGTATAAGCATTAAGGATGCTTTGTACTACATTATGAAGGTATCTATAGTATATTATAGATGAGAGCTTCATAAGACAGTCATAATGCATATAAGCATGGCTATAATGTGTTATGCCTTTTTATAAATATTTATAGCCATGTTTATAATGTTTTATGAATGCATTATAATGCACTATGAATGTCTTTATAAATTATTGAAAACAGGACCTTAAGGAAAGTGTTACCGAAGGTACATAATCATAATCTCATGATTTTCCTGAAATATTCATTCCAAAAATTGAAATAAGCCATGAATTTCAGTTATAACATTCATTCTTTTCATGATAATCATTGTTTTAATTTTTGTTAATTCCCATTTTTTTGAGTATTTAAAGGCCAAAACATAAAGTGTGAGGATATTTACAAAATGATAAAAAAAAACATTGTGCCACAAATTTAGCTCTGACACAGTAATCTGGAGAGAATGAAATGGGCCATTCAGTTCCATTAGAAAATATTGCCCAGAGCAGGTGATATTGCCCAGAATACACTGCACACACTTCCTGTAAAAATAAAAAACAAAAACACCTGTGATATTCAAACCACCAAAACAATATGTGCAATATAATTATATAAAAATAAAGGTAATATAATTATATATATCTGGGTCCTCTGGGATGAAAAGAAGAATGACTTTTAAAGCCAAACGCTGCATTTTTTTGGCCCAAAAAATCATCTAATGAATGACATACTTCATTGATATGTTCAGTTTCTCTGGCTTTATTACTGCTGAAAGAAAAACAAAATGTGCGAGGGATCCGTCTTTCCTGGAAATTAACTTCAGCTGTTTCCCAATTGACCCGCATGGTGAATTTCATGCTAATTCAGCTGATTTAATGCATATAAAATAATCTTAAGAAAATGCATTGTTGTGATTTAATGCATTTCCCTCGTACCTCATTCAGCCTCAGGTGAACGGTAAATGTGCTTTGTTATCTACCGTCACTATAATACGTTACAAACACTATCTGCAAATTTACTGATAAGTGATATATGATATTTATCCATTTATGCCCAGCTGGATGGTTAGAGACACGGGAGGTAGATGCGACTGAGGCGTAATTAGGCTGCTCATCGAGCGACGCTCTTTACGGAACAGCCGTCGGTGCCCGGGAAGCCTCCGTCGCCGCGGCGACGCTGCTCTGATGCTGTGTGTGCGGGCTGAGATGAGGCTGCGGCTGCATGATGAATTAACAGCTAATGAGACGCTAATGGAGGACTCTGGTGCTCTCTCTCTCTCTCTCTCTCTGCCATCCACCGTACTAACCGAGCACCATCTCTTGTCCCTACCTTTACCCCCATCTTTGAACTCCTCAGGCGAAGGACCCTTTTCGCCTTCCTAACTCTCCTGCCATCCTGCCTTTGGACTGATTATCTTTTGGCTTTTTATATTAATCCATGGTAAGTAGCCCTTGACAGCCGACTGCTAGGCTACAGCGTGCCCTCGGCAATCCCCCGGAAGCACGGCCCTGTTTGCACGCTGGCGGACACACTGGGAGGGGGGCGGGGCCTCGCTCCGGGAGGGGGGCGGGGCCACTCCCAGATTCCTGGAGGCATAACAGGACACATATATGACTTTGGAGACTAAGAGCCTTTAGTTGACATGACATTCTTGCTCCCACATTATCTCACTGAGGATCTACGTTACGCTTAAATCTTGCGACCAAATCATTCTGCACCAGAGGCTCTAACTGCTTACACCCGCATAGAATTCTGAGTGAATATTGATGGTGCAATCAAACATTCACTGACATAGTAGTGGCTAGTGGCACAGCACTAACAATGGAAGGGCTTTTGCTTCAATCCCAAAATGCTGCTTGCATGTATGTGAAGCATTGCAGTGCAACTTTCAGACCATTCCTGAAGCTCTCAGGTTTAGTGGCTGGCTGCTAAGGGCCTGGTAGGTGGCTCAGTTACATCCTTCCCTTGCTTATTGGCTTAGGGTTTGACATGTCTAGTGCTTTGATTGGCTGGCTGTAGTCATGTGGATCAGACGTAGTATGATTGCCGTTTATGACATCCCTGTATTTCTCAGTCGTCTTGAGCACAGAATAACTTTGGACTAAATATCATCTGAAATCTTTCCCCTTGCAGTTTCCTGTAATTATATTTTTTGCCACCGTCATATATAATACTGTGTTATTCTTAAGTGATTGTTAAGTAGGAATATGTCTAATAACATAAAGAATACTACAGTTCTGCAAATAACTGTGTTTACAGAACCACATGACCAAAATGCTTTATTTCTCTATGCAAATGAACTGGCTGTGTTGTTAACCTTAATTTTGTGCCGCTTATCATCAAAATCTTTCATTTTTAATTTTAGGAGCAAGACTGCCTTAAAGAAGAGGAAACTAACATGGTAAGTCTGCACAAGAGTGTAAGTTTGCGTTCAACATTGGTGGGGGTCAAATCAGCCCCGACGACCCGCCCCCATAAACTCCCACAAAAACGATGGGGACAGGCCGATACCATCTGCACATAAATCTATGTCCTTGAGTCTGCACGTGTGTGAATGATTACCATGAAACACAGAGCAAAGACACTTACGCACACTGGCGGTCGGTGAAGCTTCATGTCCCACTCAGATGGTGTTCACATGGAAACCACACAGCCAGTCTCCTCCGCATGGTGTGTCAGAGGACGGTGGAGAGGACATCACCGTGCGTGTGTCTGTGACTGGCTGCCGCTCATTCAGTGCACCAAACAGCAGCCAGATGGATGAGTAGGTGTCGTGTTTCAGGCTCTATGCTCGACATCCGGCTGCTTTCAGAGCCATGAGCAGGAATGAACCCCCAGCTCTGAGTATGCCAGCTCACCCCACCATTTTTATGTAACACACAGGCCTGTGGGTTTGACTGCTGTCCCGCTTCTTTGTAGACTTTGCACATTCTCCTCATATTTGCGTGGGTTTCCTCCAGGAACTACACCTCCCTAAACATACAGCTTAGACAGATTGACGTCTACAAAGTGCACAACACTTATTAATGTGTTCTGTGCTTCCTGTGAGAGGCTCAGTGCTGGTCTAAATAAGTGCTTATTGATTATGTTATTTCTGTTAGATTATTACAAAAAAATGCATGAAACTAGTAGGCTTCACCTGCCATAATTAATACAAAGAAAGTGAACTGTATGAAATCCAAAATTACTGTAAATCATTTGCAAAATCCTTTGTTTATTAATGTATAACCATCACAGATATTCTCTAAACAGAAGTACAAGGTTGTACAAGGTTTCCCTTCAGCACCTTATCTGTCCTTGTGTTTAAAAGCATAGTGAACTAAGCCAGTAGAATGTTGCAGATTACCTTGGGGTGGATTGTGAATCAGCAAATAATTATTACTAAGGTTTTCTAGTTAACCTGATGGAGCAGAATGTCAGTAGAGAGTCATAAGGGGGATGAGTTACCACTGCAGCTCAGTGGTGCTGTGATGGTCTTGTGTTCAACCTCCAGAATCTCCATTGTGGCAAGTTGCTCACCACATGTTTTTTCTGAATGTTTCTGGCCTGTGTAAGGCTCAGTGGTTTAGGAGCCTGTGCCTGTGATCAGAAGGTTGCTGGTTCAAATCCCGTGGCTGTTTGAGTGACTGTATCACCATTAGGCACCAGAGCAAGGCGCTTAACCCCCAATTGCTCCAGGCACTGTCTGACCTAGCTTTCTCATTTAAACTTTGCTTTAAATAACATCATCTACTAAATAAATGTAAAAATCACTTTGTTACAGCCTTATGCAGTGAACACAAGTGGCCACGCCTAAATTGAACTGCATTTGGCCAGTTAGAATGGCGTTAGCATTGTGCTTAGGCTCTGCTGCTGTTATCTGCTGATGTAATATGCACTGTTTGGTACACAGTACTGTATTCAAGATATTAGTCATTATTAAAAAATCGACTGCTGACTGTTGTCATATTCCAGCTCATTGTCTTGTAATGTATCAGTTGTACCCTGCCACCAAATCGCTTAAGTGGAAAATTGGATAAAGGCCTTTTGCTAGCAGGAAATTAACATTGCGCAGGTTGTTTACAGTGAAACGTTATTAGGAATCTTGTAATGCACTCCCATGCAAGCATTAATTTATGACGGGTATGTCATCTGCCACAAATTTTCATGTATCATCTGGAATAAATGGCAGGGCTTGCAAAGACTTGAAGGACTGCACAGATCACAGGCCTTTAATGTGCTTGTAAAAATCCTTCCTCTACATTTACTGTGGTGACAAAATATGTTTGCCTGTAAAAAATAATCGCTTCGGTGCAGCTGTGACCTTATCGGGAGAAACTGGGGGGAGATAATGAAAGGTGATAAAAAAGCAGTATGAAAGGGTCCCCCCCGCATCAACATATGTATGAAAATCCTTATCCCTCGCCTCCAGCCCGGTCCAGCTGGACGACTTCGACACCTACATCAGTGACATGACCAGAGACTCCGCCTACAAGTTCTCTCTGCAGTTCGAGGTAGGAGTCCGTACCTTGCGGATGCCGGTTCCTAGACTGGGATTTAAACCAGAGCTAGGAATACATTAGAGGAAGATGGGGCGAGTTAAAGGGTTTGTTGCTAATACTAACATTTCATCCAGATAGAGAAGCACCTGAAGTAAAGTGCGGTGAGCATTATCACCATTTCATCCATATACACAGTCAGTGTAATCGGGGGGGGGCAGCACTTCATAGGGCATCCTAAATGTTTTGCTGGGGCTCCCCCATGCCTGGCAATATAGGGGGGGGGGGCAAGGTTATATACTGTCAGGAGGCCCAGAATTTCTCGCTGTGCCCCTGTACGGAGTACAGTGTGAAGTAGACAGAGGCAGATTACTGTATAGGCAATCTACACTATAGCCCAGGGCCTATGTAGAATCCCATAGATACAAAGAGATACATATGGTAAATGGTAAATGGACTGCATTTATATAGTGCTTTTCTACTCCTACGAGTACTCAAAGCGCTTTACAATTCATGCCTCACATTCACCCATCCACACACACATTCATACACCAGTTTACATAGGTAAACATGGGGTCCAGTACAGTATATGGAGGGTTTGAATCAGGTTAAGTCAGAGTGCAAGGTGGGGGCAGCAGGGTTTGGAGGACCCCGACGGCCTAGGGGAAGGAGCTGGTGGATGCTGGGCTTCCTTGTTCCAGATGGTGTGGGGTGGTAGGTTGGAGGGGTTTTCTAGTAAGCTGGAGCCCCCATGGATACAGCGTACATCACACTCCTGTCTGACTTGTCAGATGCCAAACCAGACAGTGGTGCAGCTGGTTAGGACGCTCTCTATGGTGGGGGGGGGGCTCGCTCTCCTCAGTCACCACAGATAATAGGGGTACTACCAGTAAACTTGGTGTCTAGAAGTGTCTAGGTTCAGTGATCGGTGATGCTTGGTATTTCTGACTGTCTCTTGATGGTAAGTGTATCCAGTGTACCAGTCCACAAGCCGCTCCATCTTAGATCAGCATGTTCATCATTGCTACTGGCGAGGTTCACCACTGTTGTGTCATCAGCAAACTCCATGACGTCATTTGAACTGCAGTGTGCAATAGAGAGTTAGCAGGGTGAGCATCACTGGGCTGAGCACACCGCCCTAGGGGGTGCTAGTGCCCATTGTGATTGTGCTGGACATGCTGCTAAAATGGAATGTCTGAGGTCTTTCACTCAGGAATAACCTGTTGCAGAGGATGATGTTAAAGCCCAACAGGCTCAGTTACCCAATCAGCCACTTGGGGACAATTTTGTTGAATGCTAAGTATAGTGGTCAGCATTCTTACATCACTGTTTTTCTGGTCTGTGTGGGACAGGGCCAGGTGAAGGACTAAGGACATGCCAGTTGATTGGATAGGGAGATGAGTAAACTGGAAGGGGTCTAGTGAACTGGGGAGTTTTTCATATGGCCTGTGACTCGCTTCTGGAAGCATTTAATGATGACTGGTATTATGGTGGCACCCTTGAGCTTGCAGGAACAGCTGCCTGGCTCAGGGAGATGTTAAAGATAGGGACATCTGCCAGCTAGTTCTTCTGCACATTCCTTGAGCACATAACCAGGTATGTTGTCTGGTCCAGCAGTCTTGCATAGATTGAACCTGGATGAGGTTTTCCTGCTGTGCATAGATTGGGTACCTGATCATCAGAAAAAGGTATGATCTTCCTCTCTGATGCAATGTCCAGTGTATCAAACTGTGTGTAGAAGCCATTCAGCATGTGTTTTTAGATATTGAATAATCCATAGTACAGGGAACAGCTTTGCGGGTTTCCACATGGTCAATGTTGGCAGTTGAGGGTAGTGATGGCTAAATGAAGCATCATGAACCATTTGCTGTATTTTCTGACTCCACTAGACGCTGGTCTTTCTTCAGAAAATGACTCAAAGCATGCTGCAAAATAAACAAAGAGCACCATCTAGTGGGGTCAAAAAATACAGCAAATGGTTCATGAAGCTTGATTTGGCCATTACTAGTCGAGGGGAAATCATCCACCCTCATGGCTGTTCTTGTTTTTATGTCGTCTCTTTGCTGATACAGGAGCTGAAGAGCGTGGGTTTGGACCTGTCCCATGAAGCTGCTGACCTTGCTGTCAACCGATCCAAAAACCGATACACCAACATCCTACCATGTGAGTTAGGCAAACACACAAATACACTCGGTTACACATAGGGAGACTCGGCCCAATCTGAGTGCTAAGAGGACAAAATCCCACAAAACACCAAACATGAGAAATATTTTAAATAAGAATTCATCAATAACTCCCTCTCTTTTTCATTTTGTCCCCCTACACAGCGCTAAATTATTTAAGAGATATAAGCTATAGTTACTGTGGGTCTTACTATGCTTCTGTGGGATCCTGGGTGAGAGATGAGGATCACCCAGCCTTGTTTTCACTACACCACAACCAAAGCATCATATAGGTACATTGTCTAGAGTGTGTAGTTCCAGAGCACCTACAGCACTATAGAGTTGAAAGCCATTAGAATGACGGTCAGCCATCTGCTATTTTCATTAAGTGTCTGTCACCACTATGAAGCATGTGTGACATTCAGACTTCGGTCCCACTCAGATGACTTCAGCCGTGTCAAGCTACTCTCTATGCAAAACGAGGAAGGATTGGACTACATTAATGCTAATTATATTCCCGTAAGTGTTGCCGCTTTTTAAATCTGTCGTCACGTAGTTTCTGATCCATCAGCTCTGTTATGTTTGAGTGCTTTTTATGCAGAGATCCAATCCTGATAGCTGCTCTATCATGTCCTTGTCACTCCTTCATACTTTGAGCATCAAGAACACAACATTTCATGATGTTTCTCTTTTGATACCTGACCTGGGGGGAAACCTTTATTCATAGAATGAATTTCTAAAAAGTTTTTTCAGCTAGGTCTCATGCGAGTTGTACTGCATGTTGTGAGAATATATAGCTGGGATTTGCATTGTTTCTGTTGATTTGTTGTTGCTAAGAGTTGATTTTCATTTCAAATGATGGCCGACCTTTGACCCCACAGTCCTTGTGGTTCTGTCTGCAGGGCTACAAGGGCCCCCGGGAGTACATCGCCACCCAAGGCCCACTGCCCGAGACCCGTGATGACTTCTGGAAGATGGTGCTGCAGCAGAAGTGTCGCATCATCGTCATGCTGACGCAGTGCAACGAGCGGCGAAGGGTGGGCCTTGGCGTCTGTCAATCAACCCTGCTGACCCCTGATTGGCTCTTGGGGGCTGTGAACTTCGTGGAGGGCGGTGTCAAGCGTGGTTTAGCCACACGGTAGAGAAAAATGGAAAAGGCAGAAAAACCCATATATTTCAGCATGTGCTGTATCATGTTTACAGTGACGCTGCATAATGGACATGCCTGAACATGTTTTTGTACCGTTGGTGGTAGCTTCCCATGCGAGTGAAGGAAAGTTAAATGAGCAGATATCCTTCTTAACACTGTAAGACACTATTAGCTTCCCTGTATTTGATATCATGTACTGGAATCTTAAGAAGGGATTTACTGGTTATGTCATGCATTAATAATAATAATTGATGCATTCATATTGTAATGCTTTTTATGATGAAGCTAACTGCTGATGCAATGCAATTGATTGAAGTTTTATTACAAAATTTATAGTTGCATGGGTTGTAAACAAATGTTTGTCATAAACACATTAAATTACAGACAAATATTTAATGCCAAAAAAATATATATCACAATTCTTCTCTCAGTACAATCAAGACCCTGAAATAACTATTGTTTTGCTTTATGCATATAAAGCATGCATAGCTCAGATGTACCTTTAAATTCTCCACATTAATCTTGAAATCACCAAAGTCAGTCATGGCTGAACTTCAGTAACATGAAGGATTGGTTTGATATGTTTACAGGTGAAATGTGACCACTACTGGCCCTACACCGATGCACCGGTCACATACGGAGAGATCACTGTGGAGATGCTGTCGGAGAAGGAGTCTCCGGAGTGGACCGTCAGGAACTTTAGACTGAGCTACGTGAGTGAGACATTCCCAGCGCTAACGACGTTAAACCGGGGCATCATCCGGAGTGCTTCTGAAAATGGCGATGTCGCTACCCGTAGGATGGCTCAGTGTCGTAATGAGACGGGCCTCAGCAAAAGACGCCAGAGAGCAGGAGCTACTTTATCTAATCGCATCAGAGATCCATTTCACCGCTAAAGCCTTATTGCAGATTCCAGCAACAGGATCCTTGATCATCGGATACAGGAAAGGCATCCATAAATCAATGGCCGATAGTCTTTCAGGATGAGGAGCCTCATCGTCGGCTGGCTTATCAGACGCAGGCCTGTGTAGAGTGAGGGGGTAGGGGGCAGGGTAGGGATGCTGTTTGTTCTTCATTGTTGGGATGGTGATAAATTACATACATATTGGGACAGTATGCAGCCGCTCCATAATGATGCACGAAAGCCACGGCTTGTACCACTAACTTTTACCACTGCCAATCGGTAACATCACCTTGCACATTTCAGTCAGCCATGGTATATTAGGTAAAATTCATTCGGGAGAAATACACCCCCTAGTGGCTCTTCAGTGTATCATATTAAATGAAATGTTTCATATCAGGAATACTTCGGCATTCATATCCTTGCTTCATGAAGGACATCCCCCCCCCCCCAGATCACAGCAGTCCTCTCTCAATGTGCTGCAGGCGGATGAGACTCAGGACGTCCTGCATTTGAACTACACGTCCTGGCCAGACCACGGTGTTCCCACCATCAACGCCATCGAGAGCATTTTGCAGTTTGTGCACATTGCGAGGCAGCAGGCAGTAAAAGTGAAGGGTCCCATTATCGTACACTGCAGGTAGAGCCACGCTTGCGTTCATCTGCATTCTTATACACTAGTATAAATCGGACATAGTAAATAAAGTGCATAAACATTCACACAACCTGCGATTGGTCAGCACCCCATCCTGGGTTGTTCCCTGCCTTGCACCTGTAGCCTCTCTGACCCTGAATAGGATAAGCAGTTACAGGAAGGATGGATGGATGGTTGGATGGATGGATGGACATTCAAGCAAGTCACTAACATACATCAAGGTTGGGCTGGGCGATATGTCAAAATGCTTAACTGTACAGTGGTACCTCGGTTCTCGAACTTAATCCGTTCCGAACTCTGGATCGAATCCTAAAAAGTTCGAGTTCTGATCGAATTTTTCCCATAAGAAATAATGGAAAACCAATTAATTGGTTCCCGGCCCCCCAAAATTACACCTAAATATGTTTTTTTAAACACAAAATGAACAGGATAAAGCAAGAAGAGCTTTTTTTTCTTAATGGCTTCCAAAACGATAAAGATCTTATCCCAACATTACCCCTTTCCTGCCCCGATCGTCCGCTCCTTCCGTGTGCCACGCCCCCTTGTTAACCTCGTGTGGGATCCCCATGTGATCAGCTGTTTCTGGTTGTTGTCATTAGTCCTCTGTATTAAGTCCACGTTTCAGTTTGTTTCCCCAGTCCGGTCATTGGGTGCGTTCGACTTGCTTACAGCACTGGCTTAAAGCAACGCATTCTGATCCTGACGCAATGCATTACGGTTAGATGCATTGCGACCTCTCACCCGGCTGCACAAACTGGAACCGTCTCCGTGACAACACACCTTTGCCCTTATTGGCTGAAGAGTTTAGTTACACGCATGACGTTTGTATCCCAGGCAGTTCCGATGCGTAATCTGCTATTTCTCCCGAATATCATGTAAAGCAGTGAGAACTGGTTTTCAGTTCATTTACCTAGTAAAAAAAAGTTTAAATAAATTACATAAATGCTCTAATAGTACATGTAAGTTACTGGTTTATTTATTGTTAGTTACTGTAATGTTGCGCTGCTTTATTTGGTTAATCGCCCAGTCTGTCAAGAAGGCATTCAAGTAAGAATTGCATTGTAGTAGGACTCATTTCCTGGCGCGTACAATTTATATTAGGTTCGACTTCTGATATTCAGATCGAGTTCTAGGTCAAACTGGTTTGTTCGACTTTCAAGAAATTCAAGTTCTAGTGAGTTCGAGAACCGAGGTACCACTGTAATAATTTTTTTTTCATATTAATCAATATTGATAATTATCACAAGATAATTCGTTATGTCATTATTTCTTTACTTCAAGAATTTTTTAAGAATTCCCTTGGAATTCCGATTAATCAAATTCATGAAAAAAAGACGAATGGGCTACAAACTGCAATCTAATTTTAGTAAATATATCATACAAAAATAAACTATAAATAGTTTTTATATAACCGATATATCAACTTATCGGCATATGAATTTAAACGACAAAATAATGAGAAACTTCCACAAACTCTTGATAGTGTGCATCAGCCTATCAGATCAGAGAAAGGAATGCAATTCCTACCAATCATACCGCAGTCTTTTAAGAACAGACAACCAACAAACTCACAGCAAGGTTGGGTGAGTTAGTGGAGCATGGCACAAGCTACTGTTTTGATCATATATAAGACAGGTGCTCCTTTAGAGGAACCTTCAAATGTCGGCGAAGAGTCACAACATCTTTTAAAAAGGAGACATTGCAGATAACGGACTGCTGCGTACTGTAAACACTGCTGGAAACTCATGCCAACTGAGCAGTGTGAACTGCCAGGCCATGTGGTTGGAATGGTCAAGAAACCCTGATCTGCTATTTCCCTTGCCTGTCCACTACGCTTCCGTGCATTGGCTCATTTCATGGTAGACCTCAGGGTAGGATTACAATAACCATTATAATGATATCAAAGCTCTTGTCTCTCTCTAGTTCGGGATGATGTGATGTGGATGCTGACAGTCAGGCTGATGTAACCTTACCTCCCTTCCCTCACAGTGCCGGAGTGGGTCGCACAGGAACATTCATCGCTCTGGACCGGCTGATGCAGCACATACGGGAGCACGAGTTTGTTGACGTGCTGGGCCTGGTGGCAGAGATGCGAGCGCACAGGCTGTGCATGGTGCAGACGGAGGTCAGGGCCCATATGTGATATTTGCTATTAGGATTTTATAAATGGGTAACTGTATGACAAATGAAGTCAGTCAAAGCTTTGCCAACATGATATGAAACTGCCCAGTTGACAAAAAGGATAAGGAGAGTGGCCATTAACAGACCAGGGATCAACCAGAAGATTTCTAGTTTAATTCCCATGTGTCAGCTATTTAGTTAACCTAAATCATCCCAGTAAGATATCAAACTGTATGAATGAAAGTGACTCACTTTAGATAAAAGTGTCTGCCAAATACTGTAATCCTATTATTGGCATGTGAAAGAATCATTTTGACATAGTGTTGTTGTTAACAGCAAATATAAGCATATTTTTCCTTGTATAGTGCCAAACAAATGCAGTGAACAAACACATTCTGTCATTAAACATAACTGATGAATATGTTCATCACTAGCAATATAGTGAGCTCGTTGCTCACCTCTGCCCCCAGCTGGTTCGGCCCAGTCCTAACAACATCTGCCGCCTTTACAGGAGCAGTACGTGTTTATCCATCAGTGCGTCCAACTGATGTGGAGGAAGAAGCAGCAGACAGTCGCAGGAGATGTCGTCTACGAGAATGTCATCAAGTCGTAATCGTGGAGTCCTGCAGTGTGAGCCATTCTGAATGCAGCCATTCGTTATGATAAATATGTGCAATAAAAAGCACAAAAAAGTACCAGAACTGGATTTGAATAAATTACTTAACTTGTAAATTATTTTCCCCAGAAATGCATTCAGGGGAGTGAATCACTGATGTAATCAGGCAGTGAACTGAGAAAGTGCTTTTCGGTTCTTGGAAAAAAATAATAGAAGTATGAGCAATAACAATAATTGTTTATGTTTTTCATGTCTTGCCTGACAGGTTGAAGTGATTCATCTGCCCTCCCCTGCTTCAGGCTTTCGTTCTCTGCCCAGAGATTTGTTTAATCATCGATGCCAAAAATGAACACAGAAAAGAGAAACAGCGCTTTCGTTTAAAACTGGAGGACGCATGGGAAGGGATCTTGCCTTAAAGGAGCATTTATTTACTGAAAACTTTTGGTTTTTGGGATATTTTTCAAAGTCGCCTTAGTCAGAATATATTTAAGAAAACTTCTGGCCTATCCAGCAAAATGAACTGTCCCCCACAAAGATATTTCACTCTTGGTGAACAAGAAGCATCAGAACTGGAACACTTTTGACACCGATCAAGAGAGTCCCTCTAGTGGCACATGAGTGGAACTGAAGGTCAGTCAGCAGCATCCTCTAAATACTAATTTTAATTTGCCAAAAAAAAAAAATAAATCCCATATTTCGAAAATGGCATCACCTCACCACAGTGCAATGTTACAGCAAGTTTCATGGGAAGCATTACATGTAATGGCATCTGGTTCACAGTAGGCTGTTTATGTGTGTATACGTTTATTTAGCTTTTTCAGCTTTTTTCAGCTTTCTCAGCACCTGAAACCCATCTGTGCAACATTTTAGTGGAAGCCAAACCCCAATATTCAGTCGCACTGCCAGTGGTTGAAGGTGCTGTGAAGGTAAGAAAGGGCCACCAGAGGGCGCGAGTGAGGGGCCCCTGCATTGCCCTGATGGAGCGCTCTCTCTGTTATGGTGGCCGGAAAGGCGAGGGCCCGGTTCCCAGGAGTCTGTGGCTAAGGGAGGGAGGCTGTAAAGAGATATCTTCCTGTGGGACACAAGAGCTGTGTGAATTAGGGTCTGTTCTACAGAAAGCCCCCCCGAGCAAACCCAGGAAACCACTGTCCCTCTGCTGTCACATAGCCTGCAGGGCACCCGTCTCCCTGGTCATGTGAGTAACAGCCCCCAAGGAGGGGGGGGGGGGGCATTGAAAGCTTTCAGGATGCTTCCCGTCATGTCAGGTTACGCATTTCCAGTTGGATGACAGCTCATCTTCAAACTTGTGCAGTCGGGCTACTGTAATCACTTGCATATGCGCATAATCTTACAGCAGTAACATAACTTTATTATTAATAATTTTATTATAGAAAAATTACTTGGTTTGCAGAATGATCTTCAGTGTAACAGATTGGCTTCACAATCCACTTTGTGTAGATCAGAGTTTTATTACTCTGAACACAAATTTCCAGTTACATCATCCCTAGCTCACTCCTTACTCCCAGGTTTCTGGCCCTGTTGACAAAGCAGGGCCTCATATGTGCTCGCCACATACATGCTGAACACGCTGTACCTTCACGCTGATTATTTTTACCTGGGACATGTTGTCTTGCTTCCCTTCAAGATGGTTCCTCCTGTAAAGGAGCTGCATCTCCATTCAGATAGAGTACTTCACCCTAAACAGCTTCACCCGGGATACGTGGGCTGTGATTATCATGTGGAGCACTTAGCATTGATCGCCTCGCATGAGGACCTGAAAGCTGAGCCCTTCATACAGAGGAATGGCCAGTAGACTCTCACTGCAGAGAAATAATATCCCTCAGTAAATCTTGGACGAGAAGAGAAGCTTGTCGGCCAAAATGGTACGGGACCAATGCAAATCTGGGAGTGTGTGAAAACCATGGCTAATGTAGAGTAGGCAACAAGTTAGCCACCGGAGAACCTTTCTGCATGTTCCAACGGGCTGCAGCTCTTCCTGTGTGGTGTGTGTGGTGTGTGTTCAATGTGTTGTGGAGTCTGGGGACAATGCTGAACACCATTTCTCCCCAATTTAACCGAGTGAACGGCAAAAGGCAGCTGCTCGTCCAGTTCTGTTCCTACGTGTGGCCGGTTCAGTCTGTCACTGGTGCCATTGCTGTGTATTTTTCTGTCATGTCGCTAGAGGGAGGATCCTGTATTACTAGAATAGCTGGGTGATAATTGTCAATAAGTTCAGTGTGTGTGTTGAATAAAGCCTTTCGGTATCTGTTCTTATGAACTGTGGTGCTCAGCATCTTTCTTGAGTCTTTCTCGAAAAGAGGACACCATTCTAACCATTACTACCAACAGAGAATGGACGCAACTAGCTAAAATATTAACAGTCAAGAATTGGTATCGCTGTGAAGTTTATAAAACACAAAACACACTATGTAATTTTTTATAATACTGTTTATTGTAGAATTCCATCAAATTATTGTGGAAAAGGCACCATGGAAGCTATACACGTACAATTATGAATTACACTATTAATAAATTTCCCCCTTACACATTTCCATATTTTTCCCCCGAAGGATCAGTTAATCAATAACCACACAAAAAAGAACAGGACAAGCCATCAAATGACTTTTTCTAAATGATCTTTCCATTCACTTAGAATAAAAATGCGATAGCAGAGAATGGTCCTTGATTAAATCTAGCACATTACACCATCAACTCCAAAGATTTATAAGGAAAAATCAGCTGTGCAGAGTAAAGCTCAGAGCAACTGCAGTCCAGAATGTTAAGCCACGAATGACTTTATAAATATATATCTTCAGTTATGAATTTTTAAAATGCGCAAGCTTTCATGTTCAGTTAACACAACGTGAATGCGGTGAGTCCGCTTAGTCTTTGTGTGCAGTCTATTTTACAAAGATTCTACACATTCTGATCTCCCAGAACTTGATCTTGGCCAACTATGTGGTTGTTTAACAACAGCTCCACGCTAAGGTATAATACCGTGTAAGCGTGGATTCTCTTTTAAACGGTGAAACGAGCGTGAAGTTTGGCCACGTTCGACCACCTTCAGCCAGGTCACAACTAAAAACATTTCATTGGAGTGTTGGAGTGTCAGAGTAAATCAGTCTACACCAGCACCAATCAACCCAATCAACCCATTGGCTCTTTAGCTTGTCAAGGGGTCGCCTCATAAAGAACCTGTCATTCAGTTTTCTCCTTGGGGGGGGGAGTTGTGAGCCTGACTAACGCTCCCACATGTCAAGCATTATCAAATGCCGTGGGGCCTTACAGTAGCAGACCAATGCAGTGAATGCCCGTAGTTTTAGGCCACGTTAGAAGACTGGAATCAATTACTTTCATTGGACATTTGAAAAGGCAATGGTACCAAGGAAGACTAATTGTGTACCTAAATTAAGCACTCATTTTTGGCTAAGCCTGTACAGCAAACACATTAGAAGTGCCCATGTTGCAACACAATGGTCAGTTTCCTAACACTAATATTTCCTATCAAAAAAATCTCTTTGCAATAAAATTCCTGCATCCCGAACCTTGGTATGAGAATCAGGCACCACTGTGTAGCTGGATGGTGACCCGAGCAACCAGGCCACAAGCACACAACAGCCATGTAAACAAGCTGCTTTCTGTCATATTACATAAAAGTGTGCTAACACCGTCATTGAAATCCCTACCTGCTCATCCAGAGGGTTAGTGTTGGATGTGTCCAGAAACTTCCACAGTGTTACAAAAGAATGTGCTATAGGCACCAATTAAATAAATGCTTATCAAACTCAGTGCAGTAGGACAGCATCTAACCAAAAGCTTTTTTTTAAAAATTGAATAAAAAAAAAAAAAATCCGTATCCTATTGTTCAGCTCTGTCATTTTTTAATCGTCCTTGTGCTATTTTGGCATTTCAATGAAATAAATATATTTTCAAAAGAAAAATAATTATGTCACAAAATCAGTTATCCTTTAAATATATCCCAGTAGCGTTTTCCCCATATTCAACTTTCTCCCACTAGTTCAGTCTAGTATAAACATTCGTATTACTTGCGGCACCTATCCTGAATCATTACCGATAGCCGTTAACGTTTCAGATTGAAACACAGCTTCCTCCTTGGGCCACACCCTTAGTAATATTACACAGCACCTGTTTCTCAATGCCTATGGGCCTGTACAGATATACAGTATAACATGACTACTACCTCCTGCATTTTCATCTATGCACAACACAGTGTTTCCCTACTAGCGATAACCGAGTACCCATGGGCGAGTTACGGGTCCAGGCTAACCTAACTGCCGCAGTCAGCAAACCTGTGGAGCGAGGCCCTGGGAAGGGGCGGGGCTAGTCATGGTGGACGCTCAGTGACCTCCGCCCTCATCGAAGGACTCCACCCCAGAGTCGCAGGCGGCGTTCAGCTTCTCCTGCCGCCTTCGCATGATTTCCTGCAGCTCAGAACTTGTCGTCTTCTGGCAGAGGGAGAGACAAGCGATTAGGTTTTCAATGAACGTACCCTTCATACAGGGCCTACCAGATGTTCCCGGAGACTGCGACGGAAAGAGGCCTTTAAAACATGTCCCCTAAATACAGAGTTTACCATGTGGGCAGGGAGGCCCGGATGGATAAAGGGTGAGAAGTGCGAATGAAAGCTGCAATCAAGCCTGGACCCCACACACTTTCAAGTAAATAAACTGCGGATTGAGATCATAAAGAGCAAGAATAATCCAGGGAGGATCACCATCTGTGAACGGGATCATTATTTAAATGAGCATAACTACACCGTAGACGTGTCCGTGCCGCTCACAACACTGAGGGGTAGAAGGTATGTGAAACTACACCTGATAAAATCAGTCTAGTAAAAGGCCATTAAGTCTTATTTTATTCACACTCATCACCCAGTGCTGTAATGAGGCAGCAGACTGATGCCGCCCTGGGAGGCTCCATGACACCAGAAAACGTCCATCATCTCAGCTCGAACATACCTGAGCAGATCCCCTCCAGCATAAAAATTCATATACCAGAAACACCAGAAACACAAGCCTTCAGTTTTCTGCTATCTCTTCCATCTGCACTTAGCTATTGCTGTACTATGCGGTTTATTGAAGATGGAGAGGGATGAACATGACTGACTTAGCAAGGGGTAACCTAGCAAGGATCAGGTTTGCATACTTAGACCATGCTACAGTGGATGCTAAAGGGAGACGTGAAGCACTAGCACAGCTATGACAATCTACACTCCCTGGCCAAAAAAAAGTTGCGTACTTCTCATTGAACCAGCTTTAGCTTTATGGAGGAGAGATTACGGCGTGCATTCACTGTGGCGTTGTTTTCGATGAGCTTATGCAATGTAATCAACATTTACTTTGATCCAGATTTACATTAATTTTTCACTAAGATCTTGTATTGATAACAGGAGTGTCTAAGCACTCCACATACTCTTCTCCAGCAGACCCACTTTTGTTAAGGTCAGGATTCTGTGGTGGCCAAATGATGGGTGGAAATGATTCCTCATTCTCCCTGAACCACTATTTTACAATTCAAGCCTAAAGAATCATTCCATTGTTGTCATGGAATATGCCAGTGCTGTTCGGGAAGAAAAAATCCATTGGTGGGATAACCTGGTCATTCAGAAGATTCTGGTACTCAGTGGACTTCATTTTATAGCTGCATAAAGTTGCTGAGCCTAGACCAGACCAACTGAAGCAAATAAGCAAATTTGCTT